AATAAGAGTTGTTCTCTGTGATGAAGCTGTTTGTACAGTGTGATTTGTGCTGAACACCTGCTTTCCTTCTGGAAGTCCAAAATTTTGGTACGTGCTAGGCAGAAGGTACCTATGTGACTAGCCTGCAGAAATACGTCTGAGCCTGGCATCTCTTTCATAGTAGACATTGCACAATGTCACAACTCAGGTGCTGAGGGAATTAAGCACATCCTGTGTAACTTCTACTGGCAGAGGACTCTGGAAGCTATCTGTGCCTGGTTTACCCCAGGCTTTGTCCCGTATACCTTTTCCCTTTGCTCTTTTGATTTTACGTTTTTACTGTAATAAATCATAGCCATGAAAACAGTGATATGCTGAGTCCTGTGAATCCTCCAAGCATGTCATCAAACCTGGGTAGTGACGTTGACACATTGAGCAATTCTTGAGGGTGTTCACTGGCAGCCTTAGAAAGAGGCAAAGAAAAAGGCACATTGCCCTGACCGGTTTGGCTCAGTGGATAGAGCGTCAGCCTGCGGACTCAAGGGTCCCAGGTTCGATTCTGGTCAAGGGCATGTACCTTGGTTGGGGGCACATCCCCAGTAGGGGGTGTACAGGAGGCAGCTGATAAATGTTTCTCTCTCATCGATGTTTCTGACTCTCTATCCTTCTCCCTCCCTCTCTGTAAAAAATCAATAAAATCTATTTAAAAAAAAAAAAGAAAAGAAAAAGGCACATTATGGCAGATCTTTTAGAGGTTTACATTATGAGGTACTCAGATATTTTACCTATCTGAGATTATTATGCATATAAAAGGAAGTGGTATACTAAGATTTACTAATACTAAGCCTCAGGATGAACTCATTTGTGTCAGTACTATAACTATCCCTGGCTTATTTTTAGATGTGGGGTTCTCTTTTGCTTTAAAAATGTGTGCATCAGCCTTCGCTGGTGTGGTACAGTGGTTTGGGCATCATCCCATGCACCAAAAAGTTGCAGTTGATTTCTCGTCTACTCACACTGGGTCGTTATTTTTATACTGTTACATTCTCTGTATCACGGGGGTTGACCGATCCTTATATTCATCACACTCTTCACAGTGGATGAATAAAGTAGTTGTTCATAAGGAAACAGGATCATTGCCAAAATATATCCTACTAAAACAACCAGTGATCTTTTGAAGCCTACTTTTCTGACTTTTGCAAGTGGGATATAAAACAGGTCATAACATTGCCTAGCACGTAAGTAAAAGTTTCAGTTGTGCCGAAACCGGTTTGGCTCAGTGGATAGAGCATCGGCCTGAGGACTCAAGGGTCCCAGGTTCAATTCCGGTCAAGGGCATGTGCCTTGGTTGCGGGCATATCCCCAGTGGGAGGTGTGCAGGAGGCGGCTGATCGATGTTTCTCTCTCATCAATGTTTCTAACTCTCTGTCTCTCTCCCTTCCTCTCTGTAAAAAATCAATAAAAAATATAAAAAAAAAGTTTCAGTTGTATTTCATCAGAAATCTGTTTAGGTCTGCTTTTTATAAAAATAAAATAAACTTCTGCATACTCCCAATTGTAAACCTATTTTGCCCCACCCTGTACATAAACTATATCATTTACAATAAAGGTGATACATATGTCATGTCTTTTGCAAAATATAAAATAAATCTAATTTCTAACTAAAATTGTGTGGCCCTTACCTGAATTCTGTGTGATAGGAAGGAAAGATTCTCTAACTTACACAATAAAAGTAAATAAAAGTATAGGCATACAGGCTGTCTGACTCACAAAAGCTTGAGGTAAGTTGAGCCTGAGGTCTACTTAAAAGAGAAAAGCTAATTTAGTACTATGTTGTCATCAATAAGTGCTGATCATCTTTTTGTTTGTTTTAATTCAGCTTTTAGACCTGTGGATACTAAAAACGTAGCTCTGGACTGTCTTTCTACTTACACTGGGAAGTGTGTGAAACTTGTGAATTCACTTTCAGCATAATAATGATGCCACTTTGTGAGGACTATTCTGGAGGAATTGTGCTGCTGCCTGGTCTTTCTAACACTCTTCGTATTTTACTACTTCCTCTGAAATAGGACTGCAAGACCCCTGATATCCTCTCAAATCTTAACCCCCCACAGCTGAGATATCTTCTGGAACTTCAGCTACGCCTGTGAGAGCCCAGCCAGCCCTCTCGTGCTTCTGCACTTCCTACGAGTCTATGCAATCTCCACTTTCCATCCTTGGTTATAAGGGTTCTCTCCAGCTAGTCTTCAGGTGATTATTCAGGATGGTTTTTCTATATAGTTATAATTCCAGTTTGGTCCTGGGACGGAGAGTGTCAGTGTAGCTTCCACTTAATTGCCGCCATTTTGGAAAAAACTTATTTGAGACCTTGAACCACTTAATTTTCTTGATGTGGAAGCCTAGAAAAAGTGAAAGCTATTTCTAAAAGTTGAAGTAAAATTACATTTCAAGGGTCTGAATACACTTACTAAAAATCAGTTTACCTCAAGATGGCAATATATGCTAATCTTTGATCAGTAGTTGCTAATAAAAATTTATGTAGCATCTTTTCTGCATCATAGCTTTTGTAGGACATCAAAATTGACCTTGGTTAATGAGGATTTACTTGAAAAACTTTGCTGGCTAGAAGGCTTTCTATAGAATACCTGGAAATAGGTGAGGATCATGGAACACGATATCAGCAATCCAAATTGGCTGTTCCCCCAGATTCATCTTAATCTTATATTTTTCTATCTCCACCCCCCCAAGTTCAGGAGACATAAGAGACAGGGCTTAGCCCTGGTCAGGTAGCTCAACTGGTTAGCGCACCATGCAGCTATGCCAAGGTTGCAGGTTCAATACCTGGTTAGGGCACACACAAGAATCAACCAATGAATGCATAAATAAGTAGAGCAACAAGTCCATGTTTCTCTCCCTCTCTCTCCCTAAAATCATTCCATAAATAGACAGGGCTTGTCTTTAGCTATTAAAGTATGGAAAGTAATAGCAAAAGTTTTAGAATTAGACCTGATTTTGAATTCAGGTTCTACCACTTATTAACTATTTTTAAAAAATGTATTGATTTTAGAGCAGCAGGGAGAGAGAAACATTGATTTGTTGTTCCACTTATTTCTGCATTCATTGGTTGACCCCTGTATGTACCCTGACTGGGAATCATACCTGCAACCTTTGTATATTGGGTCAACGCTCTAACTAACTGAGCCACCTGTCCAAGGCTCCATGTTTTCTTTCCTTTCTTTTTTAATATATTTGTATTGATTTCAGAGAAGAAGGGAGAGAGGGAAAGAGAAACATTCGTGATGAGAGAATCATTGATCAGCTGCCTCCTGTACGTCCCCTACTGGGGATCTAGCCTGCAACCCACGCATGTGCCCTGAATGGGAATTGAAGCATGACCTTCTGGTTCATAGGTGGGCGGTGAACCACTGAGCCATGCCAGCTGGGCTCCATGTTTTCTAAAAGGCCTAGAGAACATAGCAGGTACCCCCAACGCTAATTATTATTCTTACTATTTAAATCTTCACCGAGGATATTTTTTCCATTGATATTTTTGGAGAGAGTGGAAATGGGGGTGGGGGCAGAGAGAGAGAGAGTGAAACATTGGTGTCTGATTGGTTGCCTCCTGCACAGAAGCCCCACTGAACTGGTGATGGAGCCTGCAACTGAGGTATGTGCCCTTAAACGGGAATTGAATTCACAGGCCTTTGGTTTGCGGACAGATGCTCTAACCACTGATAAACCAGCCAGGGCTCTGCTGCTGTTTTAAATCCAGCACCATATGCTCTGGCTCAGTTGGTTGGGCATTGTTCTGTGAACCAGAAAGGTTGCCAGTTCCATTCTGGGTCAGGGAACATGCCGGGGTTTTGGGCTCAATCCCCTGTAGGGCACATGCAGGAGGCAGCCCACTGAAGTTTCGTTCTCACATCAATGTTTTTCTCTCCCTCTACCTTCCTGTCTCTATAAAAATCAATTTTTTAAAAAATTTCAAAAATATTCAGTGCCATACAACTCCCTGCAGCATTTGCTGCCAGGACCCTTCTGCCAACAATTCTCCCACCATGGAGGACATGAACTGTACAGCAACACAGAGGAGTTCGCTGAGGGATTCAAGATCAAGGCCAGCAAAAATCAGGGCAACAATAAAATGTTTATCAGAGGTTTGAGCTGTGGTACAAGCTAGAAAGATCTGACTGTCGCAATTTGGGGTAAGTTTGAGACTGCACAGTGGAAACATCTAGTTACTGGAAGACCAAGAGTATTTGGATTTGTGCTTTTCAAAGATGCTACTCATGTTGATAAAGTTTTGGAACTGAAAGAACACAAACTAGATGGCAACTGATAGACCCCCCAGCCAAAGGACCAAAGTTTTAAAAGGGAAGAAACCCCCCATAAAAAGGTTTTGGGGGAAGGTTGAGCCAAATACTTCTGAAGAACAAATTTAAGAATATTTTGGAGCCTTTGGAGGGATTGAAAAAGTTGAACTTCCCATGGATACAAACAAATGAAAGATGAGGATTTTGTTTTATCACATACATAGATGATGAGCCAGTAAAGAAATTGTTAGAAAGCAGATATCAAACTGGTTCTGGGAAGTGTGAAATCAAAGTTGCACAACCAAAAGAAGAGCATAGGCAGGAACAGAAACAACCAAAAAGGAGGAAAAGTTGCTGCAGCTGGTGGGTGAAGTGGTACTAGGGCCATGGCCCAGGCCAACAGAGCCCTCATGGCAAGGCATCTCTGGGGGGACAATCGCCCAATTACCAGCCAAACTAAAGGAAGACATTGGAGAAAACAGGAAGAGAATGCTAGTAAAAGTTTCTGTTGATCTAAGATGATTATTTTGTAAGACTTTCTAGTGTAGAAGACACAAGTGTCTAACTGTATATAGCCACCAATCAGTTTTCTTTGTTTTTACTTTATCTTTTGCTATCTGTGTTATGACTCAATGTGGATTTGTGTTTATACAAATTTTATTTGTATGATTTCCTGTTAAACCCAAATGCTTCTTTATGTGAAAAAAAAAGATGGTAACTAAAATGGACTGAAGCAAATCAAATACAGTTGTTCCTCAGTATCTGTGTGGGCATTGGCCCCATATAGTTGTTATACTGAATTGTTTAGGGAATAATGATAAGAAAAAAAGTCTGTACATGTTCAATACAGACAGTCATTGTAGGTCTAACTGCATAGCACACATCAGCAACAATGTAGTTTTGTGTGTGTTTTGTTTTTTTTACATTTTCAATATATGGTTGTTTGGCTCTGCAGATGTGGAACCAAAGGATAGGGAGGGCTGACTATATGCTTAAATCCATGATTTTATAATAATATTTAAAATAACATCAATAACTTATTAACCACCTTTGGAAAGTGCTAGGGAACCCAACTTATTTTGAAAACTGGTAATTGAAACAAGCATTTGTGCTGCTTTGCTATGTGAACTGTACCTCAGGATAATCAAATAGCTGATGAGAAAAAGTTTCTTTTTATAGAAGTATTTCAACTCATAAATGAAGAATGGTAAAAATAGAGTATTGTCAATTTGCAACCATGTGATATTGTGATTTATAAGAAATTTAGCGTGTCCCCCCAAAATGTGTACACACTTTGAATAATTATTAAATCTGAAAATAAAGAAACATAAAATGAGCTATGAGCTGTTAAGTGTGTATACATTTTTTTGTGACACCCTATATATATGATAATATAGGCCCAATGCATGAAATTCGTGCAAGAGTAGGCCTTCCTTCCCCCAGCTGCTGGCACCGGCTTCCCTCTGGCACCCGGGACTCGGGCTTCCCTCGCAAAGGGAGGCCCCACCCACCCGCTGCAGCCCGCTGGTCAGTGGCCTGGGCCTCCCTCTGTGGGGCAATCATGGGGTGATGGCCAGGCCCCTGACCAATTGCATCGCACCCGCCTTGGCTGGCCTGGTGCCAATAGGTGTCATAGTGTGGTCCGGATGGTTGACTGGATGGTCAGTCTGCTGTTTGGCTGTTTGGTCGATTTGCATATTATGCTTTTATTACATAGGATGGTCTTCATCCCTATTTCTGGCACACATAGTTTGTTTCTATGATTTGGCTAATTGTGAATAATGCTGCAATAAATATGGAGGTGTGGATATATTTTCAAGATAGTACTTTTATTTTCTTCAGTTAAATACCCAGAAGTTGTATTGCTGGATCATAAGGTAGTTGTAATTTTTTTGAGAAACCTCCATACTGTTTTCCCTAATACAGTGATTCTTTTCACTGCAAAGCACAGTGAGTAGAGAAGCCATCAGAAGATTAGGATTTCAGGTGCATCTGAACTGTAAACCAGCTGCCCCTGCCCCAATACTTTAGGGAAGGGTATTTTCAAATAGATGAGAGAGAAGAGACTGGGTAGGTGAACTGCTTCAGGAACATGCCTGATGTGACTCATTGTCTCTCTTACCACCACTGGAGTACTAGTCTAGTCTCCTGACTGGTCTCTCTTGGGTTCACATCCTTCCCCATTCATCAGAATAGTCTCAAAACAGCAGTCAGAGTCATCTTCCAAAAATATAAATCATATTTTATTCTTCTCCTTAAAACTTTCCAGTGGTTTTTTCCAGCTCACCTAGAATAAAATCTAAAAACTTTACCATGGCCTCATGCTACCTCTAATGACTCTGTCACTCCATTGT